GCAACCGTCCTCATCAATCGTTTGCCTACCCAAGTTCTTCACAAACACACTCCTCTTCAAGTTTCGTTAGGGTGCCACTATTCTAGTTTCTCCATTCCTTTCAAAACCTTTGGGTGTGTGTGCTTTGTTCATAACCATTCTCCTACCCGTGGTAAGTTGGATCCTAAGTCTCTTTCGTGTGTCTTCCTGGGTTACTTTGCCACTCAAAAGGGCTACAAGTGTTATCATCCCCCCTCTCGGAAATGGTTTGTCTATGAATGTGTCTTTCTTTGAGTCTCAATCCTACTTCTTGTCCTCACCGTTGCCCCAGTCATCCCTTTTGGAGGAGCCTTGGTATGAAGCGATTCCGGTAGTGATTGCGCAGGATATTAAGGGTGACTCAGCTATTGAGACTCAATTTGAAACAACAGTGAAAGATGGCAAAGTTTGTGTCCGGGACAAGGATAGAAAACAAGTTATTTGGGTACAAGAGACCAATTCGGATTCTCCACTGTTATTTTCTCCTTCGGATGAGTGTCCAGAATCCTTTTCTACTGATGAAACTCCAAGTAACTCTATTCTTTCAGATCTAGATGTTCCCATTGCTAATAGGAAGGGAGTTAGGTCGTGTACTCAACATCCTATTTCTCATTTTGTCTCCTATACTAATCTGTCTTCTTTCTATAAAGCTTTCCTGTCTAACGTTTCTTCTGTGAGTCTTCCTTCTAATTTTTAGGATGCTCTTTTTACTCCTAAGTGGAAGCATGCCATGATGGAGAAGGTGAGAGCTCTTGCTAAAAATGGCACTTGGGAATTGGCTGAATTACCTAAGAGCAAATGACCTGTTGGATGTAAGTGGGTGTACACTATGAAGCACAAAACCGATGGTTCAATTGAACGGTACAAGGCAAGATTGGTGGCTAAGAGCTTTACGCAGACTTATGGAGTAGACTACCAGGAGACATGCACCTGTTGCTAAGATGAATTTTGCCAGAGTCCTTCTCTCCCTTGCCTCTAATCTTGACTAGCCTCTCCATCAATTTGATGTGAAGAATGCTTTCCTCCATGGTGATTTGGAGGAGGAAGTGTACATAGACATTCCCCCAGGCTTTGAGGATGTTAAAACCAAAGGAAAAGTGTGCCGACTACCCAAGTCACTTTATGGACTTAAACAATCTCCTAGGGCTTGGTTTGAGAGATTTACTCAGGCCATGCTGCGATATGGTTTCAAACAGAGTCATGCTGATCATACTTTGTTTGTGAAACACTCCTTACATGGTAAGACGACAGTTCTTATTGTCTATGTTGATGATATTGTACTCACAGGGAATGATGTTGAGGAGGTTCCTCCGTTAAAGGAATATTTGGCCAATGAGTTTGAAATCAAAGACTTAGGCAGCTTGAAGTACTTTCTAGGTATTGAGGTTGCTCGGTCCAAAGACAGCATCTTCATATGTCAAAGAAAGTATGTGCTTGATTTGCTAAAAGAAACTGGAATGCTTGGCAGTAAAGCTTGTGATACTCCACTAGAGCTTGGACTGAAGCTTAGTGACGATCGAGAAGGCGAGCTTGTAAACAGGGGGAGGTATCAAAGGCTAGTGGGTAAACTTATTTACTTATCTCATTCGCGTCCTGACATTGCTATTGCAGTGAGTATGGTTAATTAGTTTATGCATGCTCTACGTGCAATTTATTTAGAAACAGTAATGCGAATTCTGAGGTACTTGAAGTCTTCTCCGGGAAAGGGTCTCTATTTCTCAAAACATGGTTATCTTAGTGTGGAGGCATATACAGATGTTGATTGGGTTGGATCAGTCACTGATAGACGGTCAACCTCTGGCTATTGTACTTTTGTTGGAGGAAATCTAGTCACTTGAAAAAGCAAGAAACAGAATGTAGTTGCGCAGTCTAGTGCAGAGGCTGAATTTAGAGCTATGGCTCAGGGTGTGTGTGAGCTATTATGGATTAGATTATTTTTGAGGGATTTGGGGATTCATCAGACAGATTTGATGCGGCTATACTGTGACAACAAGGCAGCCATCAATATACCTCACAATCCGGTTCAACATGACGGGACCAAGCATGTGGAGATTAATAGGCATTTTATTAAGGAAAAGCTCACTAGTGGGACTATATGTACTCTATTCGAGAGGTCTGAGGACCAATTGGCGGATGTTCTCACCAAAGGCTTAGGAAATAAATCATTTTGTGATATTCTCAACAAGTAGGGCATGAGAGATATCTTCGCACCAGCTTGAGGGGGACTGTTAGAATGTATTAGGAATATTTCCTATTTCATCCTTATGTATATTTAGTATCTTTATTTATGCCTTAGAGTGATCCTGTAATTATGCGAATGAGTTAATGTAAAAGGGGATGGGATATCACTCATACCTCAATCTTTTTCTTCTCAAAATAACACGTACCTCTTGCATCTGTAGGGTGAACTATCACTTCTTTAGATACAAGTGATTTGTTAGAGACTTAGTCATGTATAAGTTCTCCAACTTGTTTCATAACCCTGCAGCCGTTTCCTTTCCTACAACTTTTTGTAATACTCCATCGCTCAAGCATAACAACATTGCACTATATGCTTTCTCCAATAGTTCATCTTTCTCGCCATTCTTCATTGACTCTGTCGTTCTACCCTCCAGTGCTTTATGCAGCCATGTTCAACCAGTAGGGCTTTGCATCTTCACACACCATAAGTTGAAGTCGATATTTCCATCAAATTTCTCAACTTCATATTTTGTAGCCATTGCAATTTGCAAGGTCCCAAATCTGTGAGATCTGCTACAGTAACAGTACCCTGGCTGATACAGAACCACCACCAGCAAATTCTAGGCCCTTGAATTCAGCGTGACTCATCTCTAATACCAATTTGTTATGAAACGGTGGCAATTTGGGTATCAAAGTAAAAGCAATAATCAATGAGAAATTAAAAAAAAAAAACTAGCACGCTCAAAGACAAACGATTTTTATGGTTCGGTTTGTAGCCTGCATCCACTGATAAGACAGCAAGAATACTTCACCGTTGAGGAAAAAAAAATTACAAATGGACTCAATTGTCTCTCACACCCTTAAACCCAGTACACCCTGAAATATACCCAAGCTCTTGGATATCCAACTCTCTATACAAGAAAGTCATTCTATATTTCTCTATGTACTCGCTTCCTACTTTTTTCTAAGACTTCTCTTTGTTTTTGTTGTGTTTAAACTAAGAAATCAAGCCCCTACTTATAGTTGAGCTCCAGGGACTTCACTTGCAATTATAGAGAGTTGAGGGCCTTATCTCTAAATACATGAAGTACCAAAATTCTACCATTTCGGCCGAAGATCTCATGCACACAGGATTTAAGGTAGGTGCATGTACTGAACATTTTTCATCTATCCCATATGTGCTATATAATCTACTATTGTAGGTTGGCTTGTTATTGTAGCCTGTCACCTAAACTATATAGCCTCCCTTTGCTAACAAAAGAGAGCTTTAAATGTGAGCCACAAAAGTCAACAAACCAAATTTTCTTTTTACTTTTTCCCACGCAATTTGTTTAAAAAATGATGGTTTGCAAAAATTGTCTTGACTGAGGGCTTCTCTGACTACAAAAAAAAAAAAAAAAAAACTCAATTTTATCGGTGGGGTTTACTCGTTGGTCAATCAGAATCTGACGGAATTCTGGTTAGGAAGTGAGAAACAAAATAATGGAAGAAAAGAAAGCACATGGCTGTGAGAAAGATAAATTTGGCCACAGCTTCTCTGTTAAATTAGATCGTTAAGCTTGTAGGAATGAGAAAATGTGGTGAGTGCGAATGGTGACACACCAACCGCAGCAAAAACACGCCCATCATTTGAATTTGTATCCTATTTTGAGAAGGTTTAATTGTTGATCTCTTCTAATAGATTACTTGAATTTTTTTGAGCCATTTTTTTTATTACTCCTTAAATTTGGTTGTTTTTAGAAGTTTAATGATATGTTAACTATACAAATTTGGTAATCATGTTGGGATATGATTAGGTTTGTAAGCTTTCTTTGTGTGTTTAGAGTATGCACCAAGCATGTTATAAAGGGTTCCTGGAATCAAAAACAGAACTACATGTGCTTTATTCTCTTCACTTCTGATTGAAGACTTGGAAACTACTGTTTACCATTTCTCTGTTATCTAGTCCACTCGCGTATCTTCTCTTTTTATCACTTCTTTCTCTCTTTTTTTCCTTCTTGTCTTACTCAACTTTCCCTCTCTTGCTCTCATTGTCTTGTTCTCACTACCACTAAGCTGATTTGAAACTTTACAATTCTGAATCTAAATTGTTTCAAGGATTTCTTTGCTTTTCTTGCTTTTTTATAGTTTTTTTTCCCCCTCGTTCTTCTTTATTTCCTCACAATATTTTTTCTTTTGTTACTTTGAAGAATCACCGTCATGCATGTTTGTTAAGTAAGTTTTGCTGCAAGATGGAAAGATTTTGTGATCCTTAATAAGAGTTCAGATTGCCTATTCTTTCCATTCACCAAAAACATTCTACTTCAATCTTAGCTCATCAATGGAAAAATGCTAGATTATATTTTCAAGTCCTTGAAGCTCTCCAATGGTTAAATTAAGAAAGCCCAGGGTCATAAAGAGTATAACGGCTGGAAACACTTGCAAATTTCTGAAAAGACATGTATACAATCTGTATGTGTCTTGATTTACCAAACCATTTTTTTTGCCATTCTAAAACAGAATATCTGGAATCTGTTTAACATAACAGCGATCAAGTAGCTCTTTTGATATCGTATATATGCTGACATCATTCACAAAACTTCAAGCTTTCAAAAAACTTCTACTTAATGAATCTCTTCCTATGATTTAACTTTTAAGCCCCTTAGTTTTCAATAAAAGAAAAGGTTTATTGGGTGTTTTTAACCCAGAATCTTGTCAATTTTGTTCTTTTATTGGGTATACAGTATATTCCTGTAGTCACATTAATAGATCTTCTGTTGGTGTGTAAACTAAGAAGGATCTGCTACTTCTCTTTCATGCAGGGTGTTTCGAGGGCATTAGTTGAAAATGCACGAACCTTAAGATTGCCTACTTATTTGCATGAAAGATTAAGTTTAATCCGTAATGCAAAGATGAAACTGGAAGAGGAAGGAATTGCTCCATCAATTGATGTAAGCCTAATTGATTGTTACTTGATTCTTGTGTGTCACATCATCATAGCTACATAATTATATGAAAACATGCTAATCAAAAATCCTGATTTAGCTATGTCATGCTTTAATTTTGTGAACTCATCTCGTTTAATTCACTTGTTCTCCACACTCCCATTTCAGAGAATTGCGGCATGCCTGAACATGTCCCAAACAAAAGTCAGGAATGCAACAGAGGTGCCAAGTACTTTGAGCTTTATACTGTCTCAATATCTTGTAGTTTTTGCAGTTATACCAGGGTTCATCCCTTGTGTGATTTCTCCTTGCTTAATGTAAATTATCTCTCTTTGTAGGCAATTAGTAAGGTCTTCTCTCTTGATAGGGAAGCATTCCCCTCTTTAAATGGCCTTCCAGGAGAAACACTTCATAGTGTAAGTGCATATGTACTATGTAGCAACTCAATTTTTGAATACTAACTTTTTATTGACACTACGTACCACCTAAGAGATAAAAGTTTGACTCCTCTTTCTATCTTTCCAGTACATTGCAGATAATCACCTCGAGAACAATCCATGGCATGGAGTAGATGAGTGGGCACTCAAGGTAGAAAGGCAACAAAAAGAATTTTTTAAATTTTAAAATGTGAAGTGTTCAATGGAAATATTATTCCATGCTGAGCAGGAAAGTAGGTTGTCTGCCTATCATCAATGAGCAAATGACTGATAGAAGGCACCCATCCATGAATATCTCTGTATTATCCTGCTCAAAATCAACACATTGATATGATCAAAATTCACAGAGAGTGAGAAGAACGGGAATCTAAGTGATGTACATGCAAATGCATGCATATATGCTTATTTCTTTTAAAACGTAGACAATTATTTTCTACATGTATTGAGAATCTAAAATTTGCCAAATGGCTTTTTTTAGGTTTTCTTTGTAGCTAGTTTTTGTAAATACAGCACATCTTATAATGTTGTTTTCCAAACTAACACAAACAATTTATTTTGCAGGATGAGGTAAATAAGCTTATTAGTACAACACTAAGAGAACGGGAGAGAGATATTATACGTCTTTACTATGGCCTGGACAGTGAATGCCTTACTTGGGAGGATATTAGTAGACGGTGGGTACTGCTAAACACCATCCATGACAGCTTTCAGATGGCCAAATATGCTGATATATAGACCTACTTTTAAAAATGCTCTAGAGTTGATTCTGTCATGCATGCTTTTGAAATTAAAGAAAGAATGCTGATGCTAAAGCTATATTATAGGGGAGCACCTTTTTTCTTTTAAATCTTTGCATGTGGTCTAGAATCAAATCACTCAGATGATCTTTAGCCCTCCGATTGGCGCAAACATTCGTGTGGTGACATTGACATGATTCAAATTTCCATTTATAGATACAACTAACTAGGCGACCAAAGGAAATGATCAATAATATTAACATGGTGCAATGCATATATAAACTCGATCATGTACTCTTTTGAACCTTTGCATTGGTGACATTGTGATTTCTAGGTTCTTTTCCCTGCCTGTTTATTGAAATCCTTCTTTGCTTTTCTTTTGCTTTCATTTTTTTTTTTTTGGGCCCCAAATTAACTTAGTAGTTTTGAATGTCATTATGTCCAACCCTCCAGGATAGGATTGTCCACGGAAAGAGTTAGGCAAATCGGACTTGTTGCACTAGAGAAGCTAAAACATGCTGCAAGGAAGAGGAGACTGGAGGCCATGTTGATGAATCATTGATTTTGGTAGCGGACTACATAGAAATTGCATGTAAATACCAAGGAAGAGAAGTTGATTCTCGATTTTATTTTTCTTATCAGGAGTCAAGCAAGTGTATACATACATGGTTATGTAACAGATTGTATCCCTTTATTTTATGTTGGAAGTGTCAAACACACCTTGTGATCGAGAGCTTCTAACATATGTCACAGCAATCACTCTCTAATGTATTCTATTATTGCCAAAGATTCGCAGTTGTGAATCTATCTATATCTTTTTCTACAAACTTCAAAAACCAAGTTTAAATTGTTGCCTTTGTTACATTACATGTGTTGTGTGGATTAAGCACGTTATCTTAATTTATTGGCAAATCATTTTCAGACTAATTAATGTGGAATCGCAGGTAATACATGCATATGCAGGTAGTGGTATCCAACGGGAATGAGATAAATTAGCTTGTGCAGTGAAGATGTGAATAGGTTGTGTCTTATTTTCTTCAATTTGTAGGGAAGCTTATTTTTTCACACATCAAATCTCTCAATCTGCACTTGACGAATTTTTTATATATTATATTTTTGTCCTAAAATAAAAGTACCAAAGACCCTAAATCCCAATTCTCCATCCAAAACTCAGCCACCACTCATCATCGCCGGTGTGAGACCTCTAAATTTTATAAATCCTAGTAAGGCCCTCACTTTTGAATTATTATAATAAAAGTCATCAACTCCTCGTTTATTCACAATTTTAATCCTAGAATCGAAAACGCATCCCGAACAAAATTGCGCAAATCCTAATCGACTCCTTTAACTTAATAATCGTTTCTAACACTCTAATATTAATTACTTAACTCTCTAATTATAGATTGATCACTCAAAACTCTAGTTTCTGGTTTCTATCGTTTTCATTCGGTTATGCTTCTTTTAATTCAAACCAAATTGTTTTTCCTAACACTATTTTAATTAATACTACACTTGAAATAGATATTCTAATTAAACCCAAGCCCTTACATTTTATTTTAATTGTATTTTGACCTCAAATCATTCTTTATACATATAAAAGTACAAATTATTATTTTAATCATTCTCTACCAAAACATCTACACATATATATATATACACACATATTTGTACCAAAAAGATTATACAAATCCCTTGATCAAATGCACATGGCCGGCCACCCTCATGAAGAAAGTTTGGGATGTACTTTTCGAAGCAAAATCCATGAAATTAAAGAAAAAAGTGAGCTAGTACCCCCAAACTTGGAAACTTGTTTTGTACCAACCTAGCCATGTAGTTCCATTCCAAACAAACGAGACTTAAGCCATAATTAAACCATGATTAACCATCTAAATCACCCCTCATTTCATTTTATCCTAACTAAATTCAAGCTATTCAATTCATTTGAAATCAATAGGTATTTTGGACCTTTCACCACAATCTCCCTCAACACTTTTGGCACAACAAACACATACACACACTCTATATTTTGGTTGAGCAGACGGAAGAACTTTGGAGGAAGAAGAAAAGTGAGCAATTCTTGCATAACACCTTTCCTAGGCAAATAAGTAAGCCACGACACAACCCTCTCTTTTACTTTCTCATTCAAATACATGATTTTAGAGGTTTAATGTATAATTTTCAAATATGTATTCATAATGTTCTTGCGTTTGAATAAAGCAATTATAGCCTTGTTTCTTTCCTTACTTGTATTTTCACTTAATGGAAGCAAAACTATCTTTTTCTACTCATTTCTCACATTATTTCCAAAAGCATACCTTCATTCTAAAAATACGAATTATTTATATACTATTTAGCATGTTTTCATCATAAGATAAATGGAAAATTACTTATGGTTGCCCTCTTTTTCTATTACTCTTCTTACTTCAAACTTTGTGCAAAAAAGACAGGTATTTTCAGTGCACTTTCAAATTTTTTTTAAAAATGCATAAAAATCCTCTTGATCTCATTTTTATATCAAAACTTTCCTTAAACTGTTATCCTTCAATTAAAAAAGGTTTTATTGAAAAATAGTAAGTGGTTTAAGAGAAAATTCGATTTTCGTAACAATTGACGAATTTGGACAGTGCTGGAGTAATTCTTTAAAAACTAAAAATTTAGGAAAGGTATCTCATTTTTGAAAAATGACATAGAAACTAAATAAAATTCTCTGCAAACCATAGAAAGGCTGAGTTCGGAAAAAGTATAGAAATGTCTTTTAGATTGTAATTTTTAAAGTGTATCTAATTTGGAAATTTATGTTTGCTAATAATTTTGTACTTTAAAATTTCATGAATATGCTTCTTATCACTTGTTTGGGCCGTAGTATGATTTTTACATTTTTATGTCTATATTTCTTTGTCATGGTGCTTCGATGATGCTCAAACGTGTATGGAAATTATTATCTCAATAGCTTATTCTAACCTTCACTTAAAACATCTAACTCAAAGGGAAACTAAATGGGGTGGTATTGGATTTTCGATCACTTGAATAATGATGAGATAATAATATGTTAACTTCAAGTATGGATTGATGGGACGTGTTCTCTAATTGAAGGTTAAGTCTTGCACAAGTAGTTTTTTCGGAACCCTTGAATGGACCGTTGTATTCGGACCCTAGGTATTTATGATGGATAAGGTTGGAGGAGGTTAATGGCTTCACCCTTATTTTTACCGTCTCTTTTGAGATTTTCGGTTGGCGCTACGGTACTACAAGAAATTACACATTTGTCAACCAAAAAAATTTTGATCGCAAAAAAATGACATTTGCCGACCAAAAAAAAATTTTGTAACTAAAAGTTGGTATTATTACCGACTAAAAATATTTTGTTGCCAAAAAGTGATTTTTGGCGACCAATTTCAAATTTTCGCATCCAAAATTATAGGCAGGAGGGTGAAAACTAGAAGGGAACAGTGCTATCTTTTCGCGACTGATATAATTTCGTCATAGATATCAAAATGACATCGTTTTGATATCTAACTCAACTAATTCAAACCCTTATATTAAAAAAAAAATGCCTCTTCACACCTCCGTCGAATTTGATCACACCTCAGTCGCGCCAATCACCTTGTCTTACCATCAACGTTGCCGTCCGTCGTTCTCGCCTCTCCACCATCAACGCCGCTGTCCGTCTTTGCCATTTCTGAGTCATCTTCACCTGGTACCGTCATCTACGTATTTTTTTCAAACCTTCAGTCTCTCTTTGTTTATATCTCTGTCTCACTTTTTCTCTTTGATTTCTCTTACTCCTCTTTCTCATACTCTTCTTGTTCTACAATGTCTCACCCACCAAGGCCCTCACCATCGCAATTTTTCGGAGCATCTTCAACTCTCCCTAAAAATAATTTGAGGTATAAATCCTCTCTCTCATTCTCACTCACTTAGTCTCTATTTGTCTTTCCCTCTCTCTCAATGTTTTTGTTGATGTTTGCTGCTGGGATATGTCAATAATAGGATTTCAATATGATATTTGTGAAGTCCCCCAATTTGTGATGTTCCCTTGGAGTGTTTTATTTATTCTCTTTCTTTAAGCATCCCTTTTTATATTGGGAAATATACTTAATGAGAATCAACATCTTAGCTAAGTTTTTGCAATTTATTTGTGAAATACAAGCAGATTTGGGGAAAATATTGAACAATTTTTCTTGGTTGGTTGCCAATTCACTATTTGGTAGAAGGGAAAAGAAGAGATCTATACTCAACCAACTAATTAATGATACAAAAGGAAAACTTAGAACCATATACAACACAATAGTAGATTTACTTCATTTTAGTTGTTTGTGTATTACCCTCTAAATCCTTGTATGAAAACACTTTTTAGATGCATAATGTATACTTGATAATCATGCAATGTGGACAATTTTTCTCCATTAACCTTCGTAACTAGCTAGTGTTTCTTTCCTTATCATAAACCGAGTGAAGGGACGTTGGAGGCGGTGCGTGGGGATGGGAGGGTCAACAAAATATCCCTCATTTTTTTTTAATGAATATAGTACAAGACATGATTAGTAATTAGTGATTGGTAGCTAGACTATAATCAAAACAAGGTCCCATTTGAAGAGCAATCAAATTTTCTCATATCTCCTTTTTAGTTAGTTGTGTATACAAAGCACTTTTCAGTTGATATTTCACCTTTTATCCCACATATCTCAATGATAACGACGAGAACACTGTCAAATACTAAGTGTTAGATTCAACTAAATTGTATTACTCAAGTAACAAGGTGATTTGGTAGAAGGGAGGGAAGGAGGTTCAACAAATTGGAGAGGAAGATATGGAGAGCTATTCCCCTAACAATTCTTTGGTCTATATGGAAACTTCGAAATGAGTGTGTGTTGAAGGGTGTGAATCTTAATCCTTGGGAGCTTTGTGAGATTATCAAAACTAGAATTCGGCTTTAGCTCAAGTCCTTAACTAAGGAGCTGCATTTTTCTGTTTTTGATTTTTGTCTTGAATATTAGGCCTATTAGAGTTTGTATTGGTGGAGGTTGATTGTTATTTGGCCATTGTAGGTGTGAGTTGAGCCTCCTGCTCTCAGTGTTAGGGCCTAGCTGTATCAGTTTTAATCTCTCAAACATTGTAGTGGATGGCCTTGGAAGTGCACATGATTGGTCTTACTTTGGGTGTCAACATAATTGGGATGCATTGCATAGACAATGATGCTTTTCCCATGGCTTTGTGTTGTAATGCTTATGGGATATATACATATGAATGTTGTTATTCTATTTACAAATGGCACTGATAGTCATTTAATTTGTTCATGTTACCTTTGCTTTTCATGGACATTTTTCATTTTTTGTCCAATTTTACAATAAAGTGATGTGCAAATATTTTCATAAAAAAAATTGCCTGACATTATTTCTCTTTTTGTTTGGTACAGATGGATGAACTCATGCACGAAGCTAAATTGTACATGACTACTTGGCACTATAAGCATTTTTGGAAGGATTATATATTTTTGGATAGATGTGTATGGAAAAGCTTTGGTAGAATAGTAGTTATATTTTTGGATGGGTGTACGAAAAATATTTGGGTAGACTACTAGTTATATTTTTGGTAGTTTAAATTATATTCATGATTACTACCACAATTTAGCCACAAATGTTGTTATTCTTTACAGCAAACTTCACAAAAATCCTCCACCATGGGGTCCAAAACATACAGAAGTTGCTCAGAAAATTAAGTGAAGAGTCAAGACTCTTCCTTGCCTTGCCTTACCCAATCCAGAATGGAAAAAGATTGTTGAAACAGATGCCTCTAACCAAGGTTGTGGTGGTATTTTAAAATAATTTAATCCTAA